GCGCACAGCCAGGGTGGGAGGGTGCAGTGAGCCCTACACATGCGTGTGCAAGCTCACACAGGGTCCAACAGGGCCTGTGAGAGCTCAGGGGAAGGAAGAACAGCATTATTAGGTTCCATTATTGTAAACAAAAAAAACCATCTTTTTTTGCAGAAAATATTCAGTAATTAAGACTCATTTGATTAGATCTTTCCTCCAATCAGTTATCATAAGGTGATGCAGATAGACTGTGTTCCCCCCAAATCCATGTGTTAACTACTAACACCAGTGTAATGGTATTAGGAGACGATTAGGTTATGAGGGTGGAGACTGGTGAGTGGGTCTAGTACCCTTATAAAACAGACCCTTGGGAGTTTCCTCAGCCCTTGCACCATGAGGAGACTTGGTGAAAACCAGCTAAGAGGGTCACCCCAACTCTACTGGCACCTTGAGCTTGCACTTCTGACCGTGAGATCTGTAAGAGATAAAACGTCGTTGTTTATAAGCCACACGCACAGCGATCTTCTGCAATGGCAGCCTGAAGGGACAGAGGCAGGTGATGTCTAACTTTCTATACACATACATACAATTTCTTCTCTTTTCATGCCCCTCTTTTCTCTGATACAGGAGGTGCATTTGGGAGGTGACCCTAGGAAGCAGGAGTGGGGAGCAGGGAGAATAAGGCAGAGAGGAGGAAAATCCAGGATGTGGTGACTGGAACGGGTGCTTGGAGCTCAGTCCATGCATTGCCCCTGTGGAGGGTGGGGGGCAGGGTGGTGGTCCACAGTGCTACATTCCCTGAGGGTGAGACTGGCCCCTTGCCTCCCCTCCATTTTCAGACTGCCTGGGGTGGGCCGACAGGACTCCGAGGAGTCCCCAAGCAGAAGGCGTGGCGTGCTGTGCCAGGGCCTGCGTGTTTACCACAGCCGCAGCAGAACTCAGAGGCATCAGAAGTCAGCAGGGTGATAGCTTCCCCCCATTTCATCATTTAATCTAGAGGCTACGAGGACGGTGCTATTATTAATTATCCCATTGTACAGAAGGCAGGCGGAGGCTGAGCCAGCTCAAGGAATTGGCCCTCAGAGGTTAAGTGCTCTGGGGCTTGGAGCCGGGGTTAAGGTGGGGGTGGGGCAGGTGTCTACACCCCTGCTTTCTTCTTGGATCCTCCCCTCCTCTGGTGGACCCTGAGGGGCTGGAGGACAGTGCCTGTGAAGTCATCACGGTGGATTTGTGTTGTTAGACACCACAGGACATAGATCCTCTTGTTAAAAACCTAGAACAGTGGCTCTTCGTTCCTTTTGGGAGAACCGAGCGTCATGGTTCTGGGTTGTGTGCTATAGAGGCTGCTGGGCTGCACCTTACTGAAAGGTCCTGCCAGGTTGGCCAGACATTTTTCTCACTGGACTCGGCAGAAGAGCTGCTCTGGGTGATTGAGCGCCGCCTGCTGCCCCCAGACTCTGCCAGCCGTTAAGCAGATGTGAACTGCCGCCTTGGGGGATGCATGAGGAGGCAACAAACCCAGAGGACAGTTTGAAGAACATGCCCTCCTGCTCTGTCCCTGGCAGTCACCTCACAAGGCAGGGGGTGGTGTGTGACACCTCCAGGCCCCTGCTCCAGGATGCCTGTTACCCTGGGGCAGCTGCTTGCGGTGGCGACTTGACCTGTCCAGGAAACAGAGAGCCCAGCCAGCCCCAGAGGCCCCCAAGGGGCATACACGTTGCCCATCTCAGACCATGCAGGTTGAGGCCCTTCAGAGCACCAGTACCTTCCAGGTCCTGAGGGACAGTGCCAGGAAAATTGTTCTAAGACATGGACCAGGGATTGAACTTCTCGGCAACATGGGCACCCCCCAAATTCTCTTTTGTATTTAAGTCTTGAATTTCTGCCATGTGCAACTAAAGGGGTGTTGACTGGTACAGAGGCCAGCCACTATCCCCTCCTGTGCTCTCCCCTCATTGGGGAGCTCAGTCCCTCTCTGTCCCCCACCTAAGCTAGTACAGGCAGGGGAGGGCCTGGATCTTCTCCACTGAAGGTGAACTTGCACCCTGTGGCCCCTGGGCGGGATCACTGAGTTAAAAGCCTGTTGCTGTTGTGCGGGCGGGTTCGCTTCCACCTGCTGTAAGCCACACGCTGAGCCGGGTCATCGTCTCAGTTAATCTCCAGAGCAACCAGCACCTGTCTGGGGAGAGGCCCTTGAAATCACCCATGGAGGAGACCCCTAGCCCCCCAAAGTATTCCCAGGGACTTGGGTTTACAGGTTCAGGTGCTGACTGGGCTGGAGACATGGTTTCCCACGTGAGCAGCAAGAAAACCTCTGGCTTTTCAATTCTAACGCAGCTGGTTGGATCTTTCCTGGGCTGCATATTTTTGTTTGCTTGCTTGCTTGGGGCTGCTTTTTGCCGTCGTTATTTTTGAATAATTTGGTGTTTCTCAAGAACACCAGAACCGCACTGGTGCAAAATGTGCTCATGTGGCCAGCTCTGTGCTTTGGGGGAATCCTTTAGCCTGAATAACTGGCGGCTGGCTGTGGCCAAGCCTGGGCAGAGCTGACCCCAGTGGTGGATGGAGGCCAGCCAGGCCGTGCCCTGTCACACACAAACAGCTCTCCCGAAGCCCCTCCACAACAGGCGACAGAGAAGCAGGACCGGGGGAATGGGTAGTTTATTTGGATTTTTTAAAACAAAAAGAATTTTTGTTCAAGTTACAAAAAATAAAAAGACATTCATTTACATTTTGGAAGTTTCACACTCTGAGAATGAGCCAGGGTGCCAGATTTCTTTAAGCAAAAGGCTTAAAACACCTCAGCCGGACTAGATGGCCATGATTGTCCAGGTCATGTTTCCCAGAGCGGGTCTGACTGGCTTCTCATGAGCCTTGCTCTAGAAGTTCCTACTCTTATCTCTTGCAATTATCAAACTTTGCCTCTGAAGCCTTCTTCAACATTTCCCTCTCCCTCCCATCTTTCTCCCCCTGCCTTCCTTTGTAACTCACTGCTCACACCTTCACTTGGGTGTTTCAGCTCATCAAAGCATCAAACCAGACAGCTTCCTCGCTCCCGCCACTTCATATCCCTCACCGCCTGCAAAATCTGCCTTGAAACTCCTTTCTTCCAGCAATCACTCCTAGTCGCCCCTGCCCAACCCTATTTGTACCTCCAGAGACTGTTACTTGGCTCCAGGGGCACTCGAGGGTGAATGGACCTGGGTCCTACCCTCATCTTGCCACCTGCTTGCTGTTACAGTCTGACATATTTTCTTATTTTTAAATTCTCAGCTGTCCTGCTTCAAAGAAATGTGGCTGCTCAGTAATATAGGCTGATGTGCCCTGGAAAGTAAAAATGCTACTAAGTACAAGCAGGGTCAGCCTGTGGGCCTGGGCACCAGCCCCTCCACCACCCTTCCCACCAGCGGAGCGCAGCACTGTGTTTCAGCAGCTCGGTTGCCATGGTGAAATGCCAGCCTTTGCTGAGTGAGGTTTTAGCATCTGGAAAGCAAGGCCCCTGAGGGCACGATTGCATTTGGACCTTTCTTGGGTGGGCTTTGTGCCCACAGCACCAATAGGGCTGAGCCTGAAGTGGGCACAGAGTTGATTGCTTGGTGTCAATTTCCCCAGACATACCACCCTGCAGTGTGATGGCCATGTCAGCATGGCAGGAGTGGAAACCAAGCCTCCTTGTCCACCCTACTGAACAGGACCTCTAGCAGGAAAGGTGATCCTGGGGCCTGAGCTAGGGCCCTCAGCACTTGCTCAGCAGTCTTGAATCAACTTGCTAAAGGCCCAAGTCTATGAATCCACTTTCCCACTGGAATAATCCACTTTCCCACTGGGATAATCCATTTTCCCACTGGAATAAAATTCCACCCTAAATGGGTGGGAACATGGCTATATTTGGGTAGGTCAAAAGTTAGTCAGATGAGAATCACAATTTGGCCAGCAAAGCTCCAACAGAGACACTGCCATGTTCCAAACCCATCCTGGGCTGACTCTGGAACATTCAAGGTCCACACCAGACCCTCGCTCTTATGTCTCCAGTGTGAGATCCTCATTCTTTGGTAAGAAAGACCTCCTTCAAACAGTTGGCTCTAAGAGAGGAGCTCACCGCTGCCCCCACAAACAGCCTTGAGTTTCAAGTCACAGTCCCTCATGGGCATCTGGGAAAACCCACAAGCCCCAAAGGAATCATCTCCTTCAGTGTTTTCATGAAAACCACAGTAAGTGGTTGCAGAAGATGAGAAAGTGACCTCACCCCACGCAAAGAGCCCATCACACAAATGCTATTCAGAAGATACAGTCTGGATTCTTCGCCTTCCTACTAACACATCCCCCACCTCTGGGTGAACCCAGCTATATAAGACACCTGGCAAATTCATCTTCTTTTAAAAATAACCTGGCCTTTGGCAATCCACTTAGGGCAATGCCACTGCAAACGCTGTAATCTAGAATCAGTCACAGTAGAAACAAAAGCAGTTACGACAGAACTAGCTTGAGGGTCGTCATGTCACTCAAAATGGGTTTGCCTTGGCCAGGCCCATCGACAGGCTGGATGCAGCACCCCAGGTGCACCCTGGCCCTGGCTGACCCTAATGAGACTGGAAAAGTCAATGTTTTGCTTTAAATCCATGCAGAATAAAATACATAATAAATAAGTGCTTCCAGCTTGTGTTGCTTGGGAGTTTCCAGCTGTGTGTGGATGTAGCCATCACAGTGCACCCCAGAATTCACAGATGGATGCTTGCTCCAGTCATCCAAGACTGTGCTCTGCCTCCTGAAATCACCCTGGGCCCCACCAAAGCATGCTGTGAGAGGGGAGATGGGACAGGCTGGAGCCTTGTGAGGACCCCAGACCCAGTCCACTGCTTGCTGGAGGGGCGGGCACAGGATTGTGTGTTTGTATCATTGGTCTTGTGTTTTGGACTCTCATATGAGCCTTTGGAATAATGGCTTAGAGCAGTGAGTGAGAAGTGGACCAGAGTCCCGGATAAAGGATGTCCATTCCTGGAGACACCAGGAAGCCAGAGTTTCGTCCCTCAACTTCGGCCCTTGGGGTAAGAGAGCCTTCTGTGCCTCAGCACCCAGGGCTGAGGTCCAGCTGCCGCAGCATGTCCTGCAGACACCTCTGCAGCCTGCTCAGGGCCACCACCTCTGTGGAGTAGAGTGAGGCTTCCAGGACCCCATCCAGTCTCTTCAAGGTCTCCAGACCCCTGGCCCAGGGCAAGGGGCAGCTCTTGGAAGAGGCCAGCAGGTGCAGCAGATCCCGGAGATTCTCTAGGTCATTAGCTATTTGGATCACATTTCCGGGAGGCAGGCTGGTGAGGATCTGTTGGTGGATCGCCAGTGTCTGGTCCATCTTGGACAAACTCAGGACAGGGTGGAGCCCAGGAATGAAATCCAAGCCAGTGACTCTTTGCTTGGGGGAGACTGCCTGCTGTGCAGGAGGAAGGGAAGAGCAAGAGCTCAGCAAGACAGGAGGGAAGTCAAGTCTCTAAAGCTCAGTCTTTCCCGGGAATATGGAGGGTCCCTCTCCAGCAGCTTCCTTCCCTTTTCTGCACTATCTGGTCTAGGCCCTGATTTCTTGTGCCCAGGTGAATGCCAAGCCTTGAAACTGCTCTCCTAAACTTCTGTCTTCATGTCCTTCCCAACCATCTAGACCAACCAGCTGAGGTGGTTGTCTTCTCCAATGGCCTCTGATTTCAAACCAGACCTGACTACTTATTATGCAGTTAAAGCTCTTCCCCAGGTGTTAGGGGCAGCTAACTCCTCCCACCCTGCAGTCATCCTCATTCCTTCCCACTTCCATGGGCCCCTCCCACCTGATCAGGATCTCCAAGAAGTCTCATCCCCTTTAGGAATGAAGGTCAGGCCCCCAGTGAGTGTCTCACTTCACTGCTCTGCTCCAATAACTCCACCCCCTGCCACAGCTGCAGCACACAAGCCGGCTGTCTGGGTCCACCACAGGCACTTTCCGGTGATGCTTTTGAGAACAAGGACCCTTAAGGGTTTCTCTCTGTGGTATACCCAGGACTATTCAGTCCTGAGCGGCCCTGCTTCTGGCCTTCTAACTTCTCCCTGGATGCCCAAGGCCGCTGTCAGGAGGTGGACATCTCTGGACTGCCCATGCAGGAGGAAGGAGCTGGCTTTTAAGGTTGGGGGGCCAAAAAAAAAATACAACTGCTTAACTTTTAATAAAGGAAAGCTTTGTTTTGATTCTTTTGATGTGGGGTCACTTGCTTTATCTGATGGAATCTCATCACGACCTTGTAAAGTGTGATATTGTCATTTATAGGATATGTGGGTGTAGATAGATAGATCAATCAGATAAATACAGAGATAGATAGATAGATAGAGCATTCAGTTGACCACAATATATTTTTCTATTCCCCCCCCCCCCACATATTTGGTCTTCATTCAAAGCCCCTGCTTCACAGCTACCCCAGAAGTCTTGGGATTTCTAAGACTGTTAAAGGTGTCTTTTGCTATGTTAATGAAGGTAACTTTTGGAGACACCTGAGCCTGGGGCTTGTTGCCAGGGAAACCAACAGGAATAGAAGGTGGAACTGTCAGTCCTTGCCCCTGACCTCAGTGGAGGCAAGAGGATCTGAAAATTGGACCAGACTGACTGCAGTACAGGAGCAAGGGGAGAACAGAGTTCAGCAAGATGGGAGGACGTCAGTTCTCTAAAGCTCAGCCTTCCCCAGGAGCATTGCCCCTGGCCAGGGATCTAGTCAATGATGCCTCTGTAATGAGGACTCCATAAAGGCCCAGAAGGAGAGGCTTCAGAGACTTTTCAGGTTGGTGACTATGTGGAGATTTGAGGGAGAATGGAGTGTCTGAAGAGGGCATCTTGCCTCCAGCTTGCCCTGTGTACCTCTTCCAACTCACTGTTCCTGAATGATAATAAATCCATGACCTAGTGAGTCAAGCGTTTCCTGAGTTCTATGTGCCAGTCTAGCAAATTAATTGAAACTGAGAACTGTGTCCTGGGAACCTCTGATTTATAACCAGTTGGTGAGAAGCACAGATAATAATCTAGGCCTGTGATGGACCCTGACACCAGAGGAGGAGGCTGTGGGAACCTCCCATCTGTAGCTGGTTGGTCAGAAGCTTAGGTGACTCCCTGGGGCTTGCCTGGGGCTTACTGATGGCATCTGAAGTGGAGGGTGGTCTTGGGAAATTAATCCCTAAACTTGTAGAAGCTGACACTATCTCTACATAAGCAGTGTCAAAACTGAGTTGAATTCTCGATGATGTAACCAAGACATAAAGACATCGGAGGAACTAGCTTAAGAACTAACAGAAGTGTAAATATTGACACTTAGTCTTCTGAATTCCAAATACAGGCCTCTTCTGGGAAATGGCAGAAGGTTGAGGCCTATTGAGCCCAGAGAAAAGACCCGGGGCCACGCAAAGGGCTGATGTGAAAGAGGGTAGATTTGTTCTTCTGTGAAGGGCAGGACGAGCAGTGATGGGGAGAAGCTTCATAGGATTGGGGTCCAGTGCCAGGAGGCAGAATGCTCAAGAAACACATTCTAGAGGGGACCCAGAGGCCTGGAGGGGATGCTGCTGGGGCCTCGCCAGCTGCCAATGAGACACGGGGACCTCGATGCGCCCCTCTAGTCTTAGACACTAGACTTTCAGATCTAGTGAGGGTGAGGAGGGGAGAGGGCGAGGAGGGGCAGCAGGAATTGGTGGCTCCTACATTCTGCTACACGGGCCTCAGTTAACCTCAGAGGGCCTGGTTTCTTCATGGCCAGCCCGTAATTCTACCTCATCTTCCCAGACTCTCCCTACCGTGTGTGAAAGGTCACTGATCCTGGTGACAATCGTCTTGATGAGGGTTCTGGTGTCATCCTGGACTTTTCGGATGGGCACTGCTTCGATGTAGGACAGATAGGGCCAAAGCCACAGGAATCGGCACAGAGGTCCACAGCGCATTTTCCTGCCTGGGATGTGTTTCTTGGGCCTGAAAACAAAGGAAACATACTTTGCACATCACTGGTATCTCAGGAAATACCCATCTGCCCTGTGACCAACCACATTATCAGCTGATGTGTATAAAAATGAGATTTGCTCTCTGCCCTAGCTCTCTGCTGCTAAGAGTCAAAGACAATTCATTATCTAGAGATACATTATAAAATGCTTTCCCTTGGGGAGAGCCAAGGCTTGATCGATAAAACCATGATGAAGTGTCCCGAGGACCGCAGAGCAATAAGCCAGGGCTCGAGCAAATGGACATCATGGTGATGATGGGACTTCATCTCGTGCTTCAGAGAAAGGAATGGGCTTTTAAGGTCTGGTTTGAATCCAGACAATGACTAGCTGCATGAGTTTAGGCAGATCGCACAACTGCAGTCCTCTGCAATACACCTATCTCCAGGCTATTATGAGGATCAAATTAGATAATGCATGTGCGAAAGTTTTAAAGGTGTTGAGAAATGTGCTCATTATTACCCTATTATTAGAGATCATGTTGCCTGTCCTCTCCATTACTCTCGCCGCAGCCAGGTGCTAGCTCCTGACAGCATTTATCACTTGCTTTATTACTTCCTTGCTCTCCCACTGGGAGCCTGAATCCAACCAGCACTTATTGGAGGTCTGAGAATATGTCAGGCACAGTGCTAGGCATTGAGGCTCCAGTGTCAAACATTAGATGTTCTCTACCCTCAAGCTGCCTACAGTTTAAAAGGACAGATAAACAATCAAACAGGCCATTTTAACTTAGGAAGCAGGAGCTTTGTAAGAAAGTGTGAGATATCAAGGGAACACAAAGAGGGCTCCCTGGAAGAGGTGTTGGCTGAGCTAGACATTAAAGACTGAGTAGGGATTAGTTAGAGTAGAAAGGGGTTGCCCCATGTCTCAAGAAGCAGCTGGGGCAAAGGCCTGCAGACAGAAGAGAACCTATAACATGTTCCCCCGGAAGGCTTGAAACTTTCAAAGTCATGGAACCATGAATTCTAAAATTAATAATATGCAGATCCTTGATTAAGCAGCAAAGTTTTGATGAGATACATGAGGCAAAAGGTAATAACATTAAATGTATTCGAGTCTGTGACCAATGATCCATGCTAAGTATTTGTGGATGGGTCTGAAATAATAATCAAATCTGAGTAAATATCAGGATGAAGGTTCCGGAGATGCTAAAAGTTTATCTCTGCTTTCTGTGTCCTGCTTCATCTGGGTGTTGATAAAAACAGGTAAAATATTTTCTGCCCATAGGTGGCAATATTAGTATAATTCATGTTCTGGCAAGATAATAGAAACAAGCAGTCTGTTTATATATTATTTATAATGCTTGATCATAGGTATGGTTTTTTTTAATCTGAATTTTATAGAAGAAAAAATGATACTCGAGAAGATGAGTTAAATTACCCAAAGTCAAACAGAGGAAAGATAGAGCCAGGAGACCTGCACAGGACTGCCTAACCCAGAAAGGCTGGGGTGCTTACCCGCTACCCAGCCCATTGTCTCTAGCCTGTAAGGAGAAGCCCCAATTACAAACCACCCCAGGCCCAACAAAGGGCAGTTGCTGGTAACATGATTCTTTGGAACAAATAACCTGCTTGAGGGTAAAGTTACAGGATTGTACCCTCATATCAGCCTCATAGAAGAAAAATACTGGGCCTCTCCGGTGGCGCAGCGGTTGAGCGCTGGGTTGCGAAGCTGCCAGCAGCCTCTGCAGCGCCGGTTCGATCCCCGGCTGCTCCCCGGCCACCGGAGGAGGGTCCCACATGGCACGCAGACCTCTCCTGCCGCCCGCTGCTCCCCTCAGCAGTGTACTTCGGTCCTTCTGCCTGCTCTGCTCCCCGCTCTGGCTCTGGTGAATTCTCTCACCCTCCCGCGCTTCTGACTGTGCCCAGTGCTTGTATAAATAAATAAAAAATAATAATAAATCTTTAAAAAAGAAAAATACTAAGTAATTCAAGATTAGGCACTTCAGATATCTTTGTGCTAATTTTCACTCTTCAAGGGTTAAAACTCCCTCTATTCACTGCTTATTGCCCGAGTAAACATTTCCACCAAATGTTTGGGGAGCAGCATGGCATCTCGGGCCCACAAAGTCCTCAGGGACGGGCCCCTCCAGCTCCCTCCTCCACCAGTCCTAAGGCCAGGCCTTCATCCCCACAAGCCAAGATGGCGCCAGCGTGCCAGCTGCCGCCTCCTCCTTTCTAGAGGAAAGGGATGAGAAAGGGGGAGGCACAGACACCCAATGTGAAAGCTGCTGCACCTTCCACTTAATAGGCAAGATTTAGTCTCTGGCCAGACCTAGTTGGGAGAAGCCGGGAAATGTAACTTTTCTTCTGGCCAGCCTCATCTGTATCAAAGACTTGGGAATTTTATTCCTTGGCAAGAAGAGAGGAGTAGATATTGGAGACAACTAGCAACTCAACTAGTGTGAGCATGTGTGTTATGGATCAGGTTCTCTCCATCACTTTTTTAAAAAGATTTATTTATTTATGCATACAAGAACTGGGGTGCTGGCCAGAGGTGTGGGGGGCGAGAGGATTCACCAGAGACAGAGTGGGGAGCAGAACAGGTGGATCTACTGAAATACACTGCTGAGGGGAGCAGCGGGCAAGTTAGGAGAGGTCTGCTGTGCCATAAGGGTAGCTCCCTGGCCGGGGATCGAACTCGTGCTACAGTGGCTGCAGACAGCCTCATAGGTTGCGTCCTAACCCCTTGCGCCACAGGGAGGCCCTCTCTCCATCACTTTTATCTCAGATGGACCCAAGGAGCTCTCCCACCTGCCTGTCCTCCTAGGCAGGCTCACTCAGCAATGGCATCTCAATTTCACTTTTCAAGAAACACCAATTTATTTTTAGCCTCCACAGGAGCAAATTATCAGTGGTGAGGGGGCTTATAACATTGTTTTCCCATTTGGATATTCCAGGCTCACCATTATGTGAGAGCAGCTGTGACAGGGGAAAATCTGGTAATGCATTCTCTCGGGGAGGAGAGTGTCATTAACACACGGATTCTAGAAGAGGATGAGACTCAGTCTTGTGCTGCTGGGGCAAGACCCAGAAATACCAGGCGCTCTGTGGAGATGGCCCAGGGGAGGCAACAGGCCACATGCTTCACTTGGGGTTGGCTCCAGGTAGTGCTGCCCAGCCTTTCAAACCCTGTCCAGCAATTACACAACTCACAACAAGCTCACCCCCTCCACTGCCACCCTCAGCACACATGCAGGGGGCAGTGCATGTGTGCTTTACAGAGGCATCGCATTCACCTTTTTGGGCCAGGTGATGTTAGTTCCATTTTACGAATGGAAGCCGACGCTTAAAGGGAGATAAGTGTCTTGTCCAGAGATATAGCTCGTAAGGCAGAGCCCACCACTGATGCCTCGGGTCCTAACCCCAGCCTCTCCGCCTGTGCTAGGGTTTCATGGAATCGTATTGGGGACAACGTGCACAGTTACCTCTGTTCCACAAAGGCCTTAGATTGCGAATCTCTGGACTTGTGCTGTAAGTGACAAAGACTTAACCTTTGTCTTGATTAAGCCATTGTTATTTTAGGTCTCTACTAAATACAGCAAAACTTGTGCTAACAACTTACATACCAAGACATGGACATCAGAAAAGAGTGGACATGGAGTATTCCCAGGTTCACTTGTGGGTACCTGGGTGGTGCCCGCCAGAGCCTGAGAAGGGTTGGGGGAATGGCTAGAAGACAGGGGACGGGCGGGATAACCCCAGACGCCAAACACGACCTCTTCCAGCTTCACCCCTGACGCCTATGGTTACTCATCTATTTGGTGGATGACAGCTAACGTGTATTGATCGTCTGCCATGAGCCAGACACAGATGGAGACCCAGGGCCACAGGCAAGAGGGGTCAGGCTTGGGGAGAGCCGGGGCTGAAGGCTGGTGGTTTCCCAGGAAACTCAGTTAATGAGGTGTTTGATGTTGTCATCTGTTTACACATATTACTTGTTAAAAATAAAAGTAAAGAGCTGGCTTAGGAATTTATGTAATTAAAAAAAAAAAAGAATTTATGTAATCTACAGTGCAGGGAAGAACTACTAACCAGGCAAAATGCCTTGGTAGCTCAGGGGAGAGCACCATGTGTAAAGGAAGGACTCCAGAGCCCACAGAACTGCTGGAGTTGGAAGATAGGGCCTTGGGAAAGTTAGCTAACGTCTGACTCTCAATTTTCTTAGTTATAAAATGCTAAATGATAAAAATCGCAATTCCCACCTGTGATCGTTGTGGGGGATGAGATAATACATGTCAAGGGCCAGCTTTATGACACACAGGAGCTGTTTTCACTGCTATCTTGTGCCTAGCAATCAAGGCAGCATCTTGGAGGTGGCATCTGATAAGGGCCCGAGAGTGGGGAAGAATCGGGTTTGTGAAGATGGAAGCGAGGGACTGAGATGCCACACTGGGTTTGTGCCCAGTGTGGCAGAGGGCACAGAGGCTGCAGAGCACGCTGCTGAGCTCAGGAGGTGTGGGGCACAACTGGCAGGGAGGGAGGGGCTGGCTCTGAGTGGAAGTGAGGAGCCTGACCACTCCCAGGTCACTGCCATCAGCCCAGGTGACAAGACTGGAGGTGGAAACTGGGAATGAGGATTCAGGACATGCTGATTTGCTGGTAGTGGTGGGCCCCCAGGTGGACCTGTCTAGCTGACAGTCGGGATTAAGAGTCTCGGTGCAGAAAGACAGGGTGCAGAGGTAGACCCAGGAGTGCCTGGTGGAGCCACAGGCAGGAGTGAGTAGAGATTGTTGAAAAGGGGAGCAGTGGGGAGGAGAGAAGCAGCTATTTGCTTGCAGCTACAAAGCCTTTTTTCACTAGAAGCTTCTAAAGGGTTTTGAACATTTAGGAGCTTGTCTATACAAGAATGGTGAGCCCATGCTTTCCTCTCTTCCCTTCCTCCATAACTCCAGGTTGGAAGCAAGATGAGAATAAAGAAAGGACAAGGGGGGAAATAGAGAAGAA